CCCAACCCCCTTTCCTCTGGCAACCATTAGTTTCTAATTTGTATCTATAAGTTTGTTTCTGTGTTTTTTTTTTAAGATTACACATAGAATTAAAATCCTATGGTATTTGGTTTTCTCTGTCTGATTTATTTAACTTAACAAAATACCCTCTAGGTTCATCCGTGTTGCATTTAGCAAGGTGTCGCCCTTTGATATCGGTGAGTAATTTTTCATGGTATGTATATACCACATGGATTTTATCCATTTACCTATCGATGGATACCAAGGTTGCTTCCAGAGCTCAGCTATTGTAACTAATGCTGTAATGAACAAGGGGGTGCATATATCTTTTCAAATTAGTGTTTTGTTTTTTTTTTCTGATAAATACCCAGAAGTGGAATTGCTGGGTTGTATGGTAGCTCTATTTTTAATTTTTTGAGGAACATCCATACTGTTTTCCATAGTAGCTGCACTGATTTACAACCATGCCGCATGCACAAGAGTTCCCTTTACTCCACATTCTTGCCAACACTTTTTATTTGTCGACTTATTTCTGGATATTTATTTTCTAGTCTGCTACTTTACTGAATTCATTTATCAGTTCTAGTAATTTTTTTGGTGGAACCTTTAGGGTTCTCTTTATATAGCATCATGTCATCTGCAAATGGTGACAGGTTTACTTCTTCCTTTCCAATATGAATGCCTTTTAATTCTATTTTTTCTCTGATTGCTATGGCTAGGACTTCCAATACTATATTGAATAAAGGTGGCAATAGTGGGCATCCCTGTGTTGTTTCCGATCTTAGAGGAAAAGCTTTTAGCTTTTCACCATTAAATATAATGTTAGCTGTGGGTTTGTCATATATGGTCTTTATTATGTTGATGTATGTTCTCTCTGTACTCACTTTTTGGAGAATTTTTATCATGAATAGATGTTAGATTTTGTCAAATACTTTTTTCTGTATCTATTGAGATGATCATAGAATTTTTTATCTGTGGTTTTGTTGATGTGTGTATTACATTGATTTTTTGTGTGGATATTGAACCATTCTTGCATTGCTAGAATAAATTTCACTTGAACATGATGTATAATCCTTTAATATATTGTTGAATTCAGTTTGCTAATATTTTGTTGAAAATATTCACCTCTCTTTTCATCAGAGATATTGGCTTGTAATTCTTTTTGGTATTGCCTTTGTCTGGTTTTGCTATCAGATTGGTTTTCATAGAATGAGTCTGGGAGTGTTATTTCCTCTTCAATATTTTTGGACTATTTTGAGAAGGATAGGTATTAATTGTTTGGTAGAATTAAATGTTCAGTAGAATTCACTTGTGAAATCATGGGTCCTGAACTTTTGTTTGTTGGGAATTTTTTATTATTGTTTCAATTTTCTTGCTAGTAGTTGGTCTGTTCAGGTCTTTTGTTTGTTTTTTCAGTGTTAATATGAATAATCTATGTTCCTTTTTTTAAATTTATTTTTTATTTTTGTTTAAAATGTTACAGATGTCCCTTTTCCTCCCCAATGACCCATTCCACCCCATCCCATCCCCCTCCCCCGTCCCTCTCCCCACCATTGCCCATGTCCTTGGGTTGTGCATATATGCAT